GGGAGTCTCTGGTGACCTCCCCCCGCCTCCAGGGGTGGGGTGGGGTGGGGGGAGGAGCTGGCTCCGCGTGTCTGGCTGCCCGCCTGGAGGCGGACCAAGATGGGCGGCCCCGTGAGTCTGGCGGCGGCGGCGGCGGCGATACTACCGTAGGAAAGAGCCAGATCTCAGCAGCACCTTCAAGACTAGCAACATTCGTGGCAAGGGGGTGCCTTATAAGCAAGGGTGCAGGAGCTCGTTAGCATAGCTCGTTTGCATAGGCCACACCCAATGTTCCCTCTAAGCTATGGAGTCTTGTGTGCAAAAATTCTACTTTGTGAGCTACTGGCATTAAAGTTGTGAGCAGGTGATTTGGCTGCTGCATAAATTAGTTTGCTCTGGAGACATCCTTCCTGAGCTAAGACAAAAATGTCTGAGCCTGAGCCTTAAAAACTGTGAGCTAGCTCACACTAACTCAGCTTAGAGGGGACATTGGCCACACCCCCTGACATCATTAAGCAAGGGTGCAGGAGCTCATTAGCATAACTCATTTGCATATGCCACACCCCCTGACATCGCTGGAAGTGTGTCAGAAGGCAACACCCACCGCTCAGGCTCCAATGGACTCTTTTGGATTGCTAGCTATTGGGAACCTGCAGATCTGCCCTCTCAGAGGAGGGAGAGCTTGTACTTGAATAAAACCCGGTCTTAAAGGTGCCACTGGACTGTTTTGGATAGCTAGCTATGGGGGGGAGCTCTGCAACTTTCCTGGCTGCTCCTTGCTCTGACTGAGGGCTGCTGGGAGCAGGGGGTGGGGCTTGTTCCATGTGCCCGCCCCCTGGGCTCTTTACTGCCGGAGCTCTGCGCCTGTGCGCTTCTGCAGGAAATGACCCCTGCTTATAAGAATAATAGATCAAGGTGGGTGGCCGCGTTAGTCTGCATCTGCAGCAGCAGAAAAGAGCCAGAGTTCCAGCAGCACGTGAAAGGCTAACCAAATTCCTGATCATGCGTGAGCTTTCTCGACATGGCTCAGTCAAAAGGTTGTAGTAGGAGAAAAGAGCCAGAGTCCCAGCAACACCTTAAAAACTAGCAGCATTTGTGGCAGGGGGAGGAGCTTGCATGGGTCACCGCAGTCCCTTCTTCAGGTACCTTATAAGAATAATAGATCAAGGTGGGTGGCTGCGTTAATCTGTGTCTGCAGCAGAAGAAAAGAGCCAGAGTCCAGCAGCACCTTGAAGACTAACCAAATTCATGGTCAGGTGTGAGCTTTCATGAGGCATAGCTCAGTAGAAAAGCTGCAGCAGGAGAAAAGAGCCAGAGTCCAGGAACACTTTAAAGACTAACGACATTTGTGGCAGGGGAGGGGCTTGTGTGAGTCCCTGCTCATTTCTTCAGATCAGTGGACTCATGAAAGCATTATCAATGTCTGCATGCCAGCGCTAGAAGCCTCCTGTCCAAGATGGGTGAGCTGGAGTGCCTGGTGCTAAGTGAGAATTGAAACATAGCCAGTATCTCAGAAACATGGTTGAACAGGGAAAACAACAGGATAGGTTTATCCCTGGGGACCAGCTCTAGGGGCAGGCCAGAGAGGGCTTGACTTACACATCGAAGAGAATATAGAACCAAATAAGCTAATTAGAGTTATGCACTCCCCAGCAGAAGGGATACTGGTGGGAACAACCTATGAGTTGTTTAAAAGTGGGGAGTGCATCATCACCCAACTGATCAAACCCTTGAGGCTCATCTTGAGTTGGAGAAGGAAATAAAGGAGGTGACTGAAGTGGATGGTGTTATGATACTGGAGAATTTCAACTACCTTCACTTTGATTGGGTAAACGTATGTGTGAGTCATGCTGTAGAAATGAGATTCCTAGAAATCGTGAATGACTGTGCACTGGAACAGTTGGTCAGAGAGCCCGCCAAAGGGGTGGTGATCTTGGACTTGGTTCTTTTTTATATATATATATATAGTTAACTCTCCTAAAAAGGGGAGAATTTTATTGCTTTAAATTTTTCAGAAAAAAAGGGAGGGCATATAGCGGGATTAAGAAAAGTGGTGAGTGGTATCTTTGTTAGTAAATTAATCTTTTATTAGTAACAATAAGTTCTTCAGCTTCTTCTGTGTTTGACTGATCGTCTTTCATCTTAACCTGTAAAAAACAAAATGGACTTGGTTCTGAGCGGGGCTTGAGAGGGATTAAGTTCAGCATTCTCGTCAATGGAAAGTTACCTGTAAAGTCCAAAACGTGAAGATTTGTTTCCGAAAGAATAGTTAAAAGGAAGCCAAAGGGGAAACAAGAGAGTCAAATCCCTAGAGTATGCTTGGAAGCTCTTTTAAAAAAACAACACACCACGAACAGAAACCCAGATAGAATATATTCCCTTGGTTAGGAAACGTACAGCCAAATCCAAAATAATGCCTCCAAGCTTAACGACCCAAGTCAAGGAAATGATAAAAAGCAAAAAGGCTTCTTCTAAAAAATGGAAGGTCTGCCCTAATGAAGGGAGCACAGTGTCTGGTGAAAGAAGTGCAAGTTAGTTGGCATGCAAAAAGAGAATCTGAGGAGCAGACGGCTGAAAGCATCAAGACAAAACAAACATTTATTTAAATAAACCTGGAGTGGGAAAACAGCCAGAGGAGTTGAGATCACCAAGGAATAAAAGGATTGCTGAAGGAAGATAGGGAGATGGCAGAGAAGCAAAATTATTTTTTATTTTTTGGCCTCTGTGTTCACTGTGGAAAGTGTGGGGCCATGTACCCCTTCTACAGCCACTATTTCCAGGAAGGGAGTCTGAAGAACTGAGTCAAATCAAGGTATCATGATACGAAGTTTTAGACCTGTTGGAGAACCTTAAAAACCAGTGAGTCTTCAGGTCCTGATGGCAATACACCCGTGAGTTCTTAGGGAGCTCAAATGTGAGATTGGTGATCTACTGATCTGTGTATTTATTTATTTAATTAATTCAATTTTTATCCCACCCTCCCAGCAAGTGAGCTCAGGGCGGGTTACAGCATAGAATATACGGAAAAGAGAATAGAACAGATTAAAAGCCCTAAAACAGCTATTCTAAATTCCAACTCAATCACAAGATTGGCAGCAGAGGATAGGACCCAAAGCAACGGATTTAAATGACGTGCAGAAAGGTATCGGCTGGATATTAGGAAAACCTTTTTCACAGTCAGAGTGGTTCAAAGGTGGAATCAGCTGCCCAGGGAGGTGGTTAGCTCCCCTTCACTGGCAGCATTCAAGAAGAGGCTGGACGAATATTTGTCAGAAATGCTTTAGGCTGGTCCTGCATTGGGCAGGAGGTTGCACTAGATGGTCTGTATGTCTGTATGGCCCCTTCCAACTCTAAGATTCTGTGATTTCCAAAGCTTATGGTATCTGCCAGGATAGATGCAGGTTCCCAGAATGGTAGAATAGTCACCGTTGGAACTCAGAGGGGCCAGATCGATTGGGCATCCACTAGTTCAGCCAAAGGCCCGATGGAATAGCTCCATTTTAAAGGCCCTGCGGAACTGTAATAGGTCGCACAAGGGCCTTGATGTCCATTGGGAGCTCATTCCACCAGGCTGAGGCCAGAGTCGAGAAAGCCCTGGCTCTGGTTGAGGCAAGGACGGACGTCTTGTGCCCGGGGGGTGGGGGTGGGATTTCCAGTAGATGGTGTTCTGCTGGGTGCAAGGCTTTTTGGGGCACAGGTATGCAACTTACCACTAAAATCAGCTACTGTACTAGAATACTGGAGAGTAGCAAATGTTACACTGATCTTTGTAAAGAGGTCCAGAAGGGAACCAGGAAATTGCAGGGCCAGTTGGCCTAATATCTGTCCCAAGCAATTTAGTAGATACCGTAATCAAATTCAGAAGTATTAGGTTCTTGGAGAAACAGAGCCTGCTGGGAGAGAATTAGCATGACTTCTGCAAAGTAGAGTCCTGCCGCACCAACCTTTTGGAGTTATTTGCATAAGTGAACAAGCATGTAGGCACCAGTGACTCAGGAGGCAGCATATACTTGGCCTTTCGAAGGGCCATTGACAAGATACCTCACCAAAGACTCTCGAGTAAGAAGTCATGTGATAAGAGGATGGGTCCTCTTATGGAATAAAAAATGGTTGAACAACAGGAAACAAATGTTAGAAATAAATAGTTCTTGCAGTTGCAGGTAGTAGTCAGTAGGGACCCATAGGGATTGTTTTGGGGGCTGGTGCTATTTAATTTGTTTGTAAATGATCTGGAACTGTAGGTGAGCAGTGTATTGGCCTGGTTTGCTGAGGATTGGGAGAGGCTTGAAGACTCGAGATCTTCAGTTTAGAAAAGAGGTGGCTGGCTGGGTGGTGTATGATAGAGGTTTATACAATTGTGCACAGGGCAGAGAGAGCGAACAAAGCGCTTTTTCTCCCTCTCCCCAAATATTAGAACTCGAGGGCATCCAATGAAGTTGGTGGGCAGTACATTCAAAGGACAAAGAAAAGGAAATGCTTCTTTGAACAAGTGATTAAAATGTGGAATTTGCTGCCACAGGATGTACTGATGGCCGTAGGAATAGACAGCTTTAAAAGGGGGCTGGACGGATTCATAAAGGGATAGCTCTACCAGTGGCTACTGGGCGTGGTAACTATAGTGAACCTCTATATTTAGAGGGAGTAAATGTCTGGATACCAGTACCAGGAGGCAACATCGGGGAAGGCCTCAGCCTCTGTGGCCAGTTGTTGGTCCTCCAGTGTAACTGGAGGACAACGGTGTGAGACAGGATGCTGGGCTAGATAGACCACTGGTCTGATCCAGCTGTGCTCTCATATTCTAATGAAGGCCTCAGCCTCTGTGCCCTATGGTTGGCCCTCCAGAGGAACTGGTTGGCCCCTGTGTGAGACGGGATGCTCTACTAGGTGGACCCTCACTGGTCTGATCCAGCAGGGCTCGTCTGATGTTCTCATGAAGGCTTTATGCCCTGTTGTTGGACCTCCAGAGGAGCTGGTTGACCACAGTGTAAGCAAGGATGCTGGACTGGATGAACCAGTGGTCTGATCCAGCTGGGCTCCTCATATGTTCACAACAAGCTTTAGGCGTTCCACATCATGCTTTTGATATCGTCAAACCTCAAACTCTGAGGGCTGGAGATTATTTTTATGCTGTCTGTGTAGAAATGAAAGCTGAGAGTCAAGGCTGATGTTACCCTTTCCTACTTGAGAGCTAATAACCTTTTCCATTTGTTCAGAAGAAAAGCTTTGCGAAGCCTGAAAGTTTTCTCACTCTGCATTGGAGAGTGGCTTTTAATGAACTGCCTTGCCTTGCCTTGCGAAGCACCTTCTTTTCATCTCTGCAAAAATTGTGAAACGAGGGTTTTTCTTTTTGTTCTGAAAGCATGGTTTGGGCTGCGTCTCCCTTGCAGGCAAACACTGGTGGCTCCACCGACTCATTTACAGGGGTGTCCATACAAACCATCATCTAGAATCTTGATTACAAGTTAGTAATTTTTATACTGTCATGTTCAGAAAGCAGCGTGGGAGGGTGCCTCACCAAGGTTTGACCCTCTGTTGCCTGGGCTTGACTAAAATGATGTAAACAAAGCTTTCCTCGAGCCTCCGGTCCTACGGAGTTGGAGATCATCACGGGAAGGATGCATGACCCTCAGGGGCGGGATGGCACTCCCTGATTGTAGGTTGGAAAAAGCCCACTATAAAAGCTGTGTTGGCTTTGAAGATTTGGGGTTTAGGAGGATCTGTCCCTGTGGCAAGATCAGTCCAGAAATCTGGATTTTTTTTCCTTCCCCCCCTTGAGGTGGGACCATTTGGGCTGCTTTAGCTAGTGCGATCTGTCTCGCCTGCAATGCAGAGATGTTCTGTCAGGCTTTTGGTTGAGGACAGCTGTCTCCCATCTTCTAATATTTTCCCAGAGATCTGTTAAATTTAGGGTCTCTGACCCAGGCTGTAAATGGGGGCCGACCCAAGCTGTAAGTGAGGGGCCGACCCAAGCTGTAAGTGAGGGGCCGGCCCAGGCTCTAAGTGGGGGCCGGCCCAAGGGGGGGGGGAACGCCCGCTGCCTCGACCAAAAGCCCGGCGGAAGAGCTCCATCTTTCAGGCCCTGTGGAATTGTAATAAATCCCGCAGGGGCGCTGACCTCACTCGGGAGCTCATTCCACCAGGCAGGGGCCAGGGCCGAAAAAGCCCTGGTCCCGGTCGAGGCAAGTTGGACGTTCCTGGGGCCGGGGACCACCGAAAGATGCTGATTGGTGGACCTCAGTGCTCTATGGGGAGAGGCGGTCTCGAAGGTATGCTGGCCCCTGGCCGTGTAGGGCTTTGGAGGTAAGTACCAACATTACCCAGTGGGCTTTATGACTGAGTGAAGGTTTGAATCCAGATCTCAGTCGGAGACTCTGATTGCTGCTCTCCCTGACGTGTTTGTTGCCCCCCCTCTCAAAGCTTCAGATTTATCCAACCAGCTCAGCTGGAGGAGGAGGCCATACACAGTTCTTACTAGTTTTGCCTTGCTCAAATGGCACCTCTGCCAGAAGAATAGGAACGAGGGCTGTTCAGTGTTCATTTACCACAGTACTCCCCTCACGAATTAGACCAGGTTAGTGGCAGCAAGATAGTTCGATGGTTTTAGGTGTATGGTATCTGTGCTCGTATACCAGACTCTTCACACACACACAATGATGTGCAGGTTGACTTGGGGCAAGTCCCTTTTTTTGTTTTTGTTCCCCACGCTCTTTGTCGTCCTCCGTCCACTGCTGAGGAGGTCAGGCGCCCTTGTTTTGGGAATCCGGTCTTGACTGTCAGTGATTATCTTCTACTCTTCAACAGGCTATCTTCTAACCGCACGAGAGCCGCTTCGGTCGCTATGCAGAGTGAGGATCCTCAGGGGGACGAGAGCCACGTGGAGAGCGAGAGCATGGGCAAGGCCACCGAAGCTAAGAGTGAGCAGCTGGCCGACTTCAGCACGGAAATAATGAGCGTCACGGAGATGGAGCAGTCCCCCGACAACTCTCCCGGGACCCCTCCCCAGGAAGAGAAGCCCCAGGAGAGTGAAGTGGCAGACACAGAGGCCGAAAAGACTGCTGATCCCGAGCCTTCGTTCCCTCCTGAGTTTGACAAGTTCTGGAAGGTCGTTGAGACAAACCCACAGGATTTCACAGGCTGGGTCTATCTCCTGCAGTTTGTAGAACAAGAGGTGAGTGGCCCTGGATCTGGTGTCCCCAAGTGCCGAACACTGGTAGCCGCTGCTTTGGTATATTATCTCGACCTTTGTCATTCTCTTCCGGTTTGGTGTCGTGGTGAAGTGCAGGCGGACTCTAATCTGGGAGAACCGGGTTTGATTCCCCACTCCTCCACATGCACCTGGCTGGATGACCTTGGGCAAGCCCTAGTTCTGACAAGAGCTGTCCTTGAAAAAGAGCAGTTTCTGTCAAAGCTCTCTCAGCCCCGCCTCCCTCACAGGGTGTCTGTTGTGGGGAGGGGAAGGGAAAGGAGTTTGTGAGCCGCTCTGAGACTTGAAGTGAAGGGCGGGGTATAAATCCAATCTCTTCCACCTCCTCCTTTCTTCTTCTTCATAGTGGTTAAGTGCGCGGACTCTAATCTGGGAGAACCGGGTTTGATTCCCCAGTCCTCCACTTGCACTTGCTGATGTGACCTTGGGCAAGCCGTAGTTCTGATAAGAGCTGTCCTTGAAAAAGAGCAGTTTCTGTGCCGCGCTGCAGGATACCTGTCTGGTTGGCATCTCCCCCCTAACCACGGGGGGATCTCAACCGGGGCTCAGGCGGCCACACGTTAGTTTCCTCTGGGGCAATTAGCCACGCCTCCCCCCTGCGATATCCGGCCCGTGTGACCGGGGCCAAAGTAGATTTTTAAGAGCTACAGGGCAGTGGAATCTTGCCATTTACATTTAATGTCTGGTATAGTGTGAAATTTAGTTAAAAAAACAACTTGAACTCACTGGTTCCTTGTTGGGAGGTGATTCATACTTGTCCAGTGTTTTGAAAATTCTTTTTTGATCGTTTGTGTCAATGGCAGGTGGAAAACCCTGGTTTTGTGTGCTCTTGGACTAAAACATTTTTAAGGTCGTCCCCCTCCCCCCCCCCGCCACCGAAGGAGAGCCAACATATTGTAGTGGTTGAAGTGTTAGGCTGGGATCCAGAAGACCCAAGTTCAGATCCCCTCTCTGCCGCAGGAGCTCACTGGATGACCCTGGGCCAGTCACACACACTCGGCCTGGCCTACCTTACAGGGCTGTTGGGAGGATAAAAGGGAATGGTGGAATCATAGAGTCGGAAGGGACCTCCAGGGGCATCTGGTTGAGGGAGGAGAGGAGAAGGACGTCAGCTGCTTTGGGTCCCCCATTGGGGAGGAAGGCAGGGTATGGACGAAGTAAGCAAATAAATAGAGATGGCAAAACATGTGGTGGTGACCTGGGGCCTGTCACTGTCTTCCAGCCTGACTTGCCTCGTGTGGTGGTTGTGAGGAGAAAAGGGAGGAGTGGTGAGCTGCAGTGCTGTAAGCTGTTTTGGGTTCCCAATTGGGAGCAATGCAGAGTATAAACGACTAAATAATACATAAATGGTTCCCTCTAAGCTGTGTTAGTGTGAGCCAGCTCACAGTTTTTTAGCCTCCAGCTCACAAGTTTTTGTCTTAGCTCAGGAAGGCGGGCTCGAGAGCTAACGAATTCATGCAGTAGCCAAATCCCTTGCTCACAACTTTCATGCCAGTAGCTCTCAAGACTCCACAGCTTAGAGGGAGCATTGGTTCCAAGGTAAGAAGAAGAAGAAGAAGAGATTAGATTTATACCCCGCCCTTCACTTGGAGTCTCAGAGTGGCTGACAAACTCCTCTCCCTTCCCCTCCCCACAGCAGACACCCTGTGAGGTGGGTGGGGCTGAGAGAACTCTGACACAAACTGCTCTTTTTCAAGAACAGCTGTGCCAGAGCTTGTGACTGTCCCAAGGTCACATCAGCAGGTGCAAGTGGAGGAGTGGGGAATCAAACCCGGTTCTCCCAGATTAGAGTCCACACACTTAACCACTACACCAAACTGGCTTAACCACTACATCAGCTGGCTTTTACTTTTGAGAGCTCTTTGTGAGGTCTGAACATACTGAAATCCAACTGTCTCTTCTTCCCAGAACCACCTACTAGCCGCCAGGAAAGCCTTTGACAGTTTTTTCACACACTACCCGTATTGTTATGGCTATTGGAAAAAATACGCGGACCTTGAAAAGCGGCACAGCAACATGAAGCAGTCAGATGAGGTACGTAGTGGCAGCCGTTTCCTCCTGGGTCCTGTAAGGTGATCAGCGACCAGCCCGCTCCTGAGATAATCCTTGCCAGCTTTTTGGCCAGCCAGGCAGGGCTTTCTGTTTGCACTTGTCACTCCTCGTGGCACTTGGAGCTAATATCTTCTCTCTTTGTTGGCAGGTGCGTTAACCCTCTTCCACAGTTTGTCAAGCTTTGCAGTGCAAGCGTCTGCATTACACTGCAGCTTAACAAGTAGGGCAGGGCTTTTCTGTCACGTTATTATACATTTATTATTTCTCAAAATTCAAACGCTGTGGTTGGTTTGCTGGTCACAATTGCTACGTCTTATTGCATTTTTGGTCAGACGCTGTCATTGGTGCTCTAAAGGGTCTGTGCCCTATGGTCTGTACCCCAAAGCCTGCCCACACAGCCTGGTCAGACGCAGGGACCCCGCTGCGCTGTGAAGATCAAGACTCCGCACGTGGAGATCAGAACATTGCCATGTTCTAGCCAACCTCCACCCAAATGGTAATGGTAGATTATTTAAACAAAATTCCAGTACATTAGTATTTCTTAAGGTTCACCGGATAACACAGTGTTGCCGCTCTCTTAGGACCTGAGTAACGACTCCGAGGACAGCTTGTTGGTGTTTTCTTTGTAGGTGTACCGGAGAGGGCTCCAGGCCATACCTCTCAGCGTTGATCTCTGGATCCATTACATAAACTTCCTCAAGGAGACTCTGGATACCAGTGACTCCGAAACTGTTGGGACCATTCGGGGGTAAGTGAGTAGTTGCCACATGAGCTCAGTTGGATGGAATTCTGTTAAGAGCGCGATTCAAGTCCACCAGCTTCGAGACCAAGACTATTGGTCAAAGCTCACTTCATCAGATACAAGTTGGAATGGATGTCCCTGAGTCCTTATATCCCAGTCTGAAGGGTAGAAGAAGAGATTGGATTTATACCCCACCCTTCACTACCCAAAGGAATTTCAGAGCAGCTTACAATCTCCTTTCTTTTCCCCTCCCCACCACAGACACCTTGTGAGGTAGGTGGGGGTGAGAGAGCGCTTTCGAGAATTGCTCGTGAGAGAACAGCTCTGAAAGAACTTGTAACTGACCCAAGGTCACACCAGCAGCTGCATGTGGGCAATCAAACCCGGTTCTCCCAGATTAGAGTCCGTGTTCCTGGCTCTGGTTTGCACCTTGGTTAGTTCTTTACTCTCATTGGCAGTGGTCTTAGCTCTTGGCTTCTCTTCCTGTTCTGGGAATCAGATAAACTGTTGTTGAGATCAATCAGGGGGAAGACTATATATTTATTTATTATTTATTTATTAAATTAGATTTACTAGGCTGCCCTTCCCTGGAAACAGGCTCGGGGGGGGGGGTTACGAGGGTTGGGGAGATTACGTAAGAGTGCCAAAGAAGCCCTGTCGCTGTCCTCAATCGAGGGCCCGGGGGAACATCTCTGCCTTGCGTGCCCTGCGAAAAGGTAACAGCTCCCACAGGGCATGGATGTCTTCTGGCAGAGCGTTCCACCAGGCGGGGGCCAGGACTGAGAAGGCCCCGGCCCCAGTCGAGGACATGTATAGCAGATTTTAACACATGCTATACATAGGAGTCATTCACAGTGGAACATTTCAGGCACCACCGTGGAGCTTTTTCATGGCCTGCCGGTAGGAATGCCAGCCTTTTCAGCAAAGAGGTGTCCAGATAGGACAGACATTAATTTTTCCTCTCACTAGGGCTGATAAGAAAGATGTTTAGTATGTGGACTCTTTACTAAGTTGCAAGTAGGCTGGTCAACTATGAAAGATGCGTTTAGTTGATTCATGATCTGGGTTCAGTCAGTCGTATTGTACTTATCACTACTGGCTTCACATAGCTATCTCCCCCCAACCCCCCCAAAAAAAATTATGAGAAAGGTTTTCTTAAGTTATTATGTTGCCAGTCATTGTTGGGAGGACCATCTGATCCTTTTTCACTCATTTGGAAATCTGAAATATAGAAAATTGGTTGAAAGGTGACACCTCTTACAGGTGCTACAATTGTTTTAAGGTTTTTAAACATCCTTTTTTGTATGGTATTTTGAACTTCCTTGGGGGCCAGTTATGGTTGAAAGGGGATCAGTAAATGTACTAAATAGATGTCCTATCCCAGTATTAAACGAGAACCGAAATGGCTTCAAAAATGAGCAAGTCCAAAATGTGTCCATACTATGGAGCATTCTGAGTTATGACATCTTTTGGTGGCTGAGTTGTATCAGCTTCGGTTGCCTCTTGCATTGGAGAAGTAAAAGACAGATGTGGTTCTACTCAGAAATGCAAAGATTGACTTGTTCTGGATCAGGGCTCCCAAGTACTTACCTTAATTCGGCGGGGGATGTATAGTTCTTCGTGGGACCATTCCCGCGGGAAAAACACAGGCGCTGCACTATTCCATCGCCCAGACGTGACGTAGGCACATAGGTGGGCAATGCTTTAGCAGTGGGGCTGGAAACTCGATGGTACCATCAAGTTTCCAGTCCCATTACTAGAGTGTCGCCCAGCTACGTGCCTACGTCATGTCTGGGCGACAGAATAGTGCAGCGCCTGTGTTCCAAGCAAGAATCTTCCGGCGGGGAAGCATGTGTCCCCTGCCGGATCATCGGTAGGTACTTGGGAACCCTATTCTGGATACAGACTGGAAGGAAAAATGATCTTGGGATGTTCTTACCTCCCCCCTCCATAATTTAGCACTGTATAATTTTTCAACTTAATATGGCTTCTGAGGGGAGGGGTGATGGCTCAGTGGTAGAGCCTCTGCTTTGCCTGTGCAGGATCCCAGGTTCAATCCCCGGCCTCTCCAGATGAAAGGATCAGTTTAGCAGGTGACGTGAGAGACCTCTGCCTGAGACTTTGGAGAGCTGCTGCCAGTCTGAGTAGACAACACTGACTTTGATGGTCTGATTCAGTAGAAGGCCGCTTCACGTGTTCATTCAAATGTTATCCGTCTTAAAGATAGGTTCAGACAGGGGTCATTTCATAGAAAGAGGTGCAGGAGCTCATTAACACAACTCATTAGCATAACCTATTTGCATATGCCACACCCCCTGACATCACCGGAAGTGTGTCAGAAGGCAACACCCACTGCTCAGGCTCCACTGGACTGTTTTGGATGGCTAGCTATTGGGGGGGGGGGAACGTGCAGATCTGCCCTCGCAGAGGAGGGAGAGCTTGTACTTGAATAAACCTTGGCCTTAAGGGTGCCACTGGACTGTTTTGGATTGCTAACTTTGGGGGGGGGGCTCTGCAACCTACCTGGCTGCTTCTTGCTCCTTATGGCCCGGGGCTGCTGGGAGCAGGGGTTGGGGCTTGTTGCATGTGCCCGCCCCCTGGGCTCTTTACTGCCGGAGCTCCGCTCCTGTGCGCTCCTGCAGGAAATGACCCCTGGGTTCAGACTAGGGATGTGCAAAAAAAAAAAATTCGGTAAAATTCGGATTCGGGTTTATTGAACCCGAATTTTTTCGGGAAACCTGAAAAAACCCGAATATCTAATTCGGTAAAGCATAGATATCCGAAAATTTTCGGAAAACCCGAAAAATTCGGGTCCATTATAACCAATGGGGCCATTGAAGTCAATGGCAAAAAACCTCTTGAAACTTTACAGGGGGCTGGGGGGGAGGGGGTAGAGGCTCCAAATTTGGACAGTGGCTGCTCATGCCTCTTCCCGAAAGACCCCCAAAGTTTCAAGAAGATTGGCCCAGGGGGTCCGATTCCAGGGGCATCCAAAGAGGGTGCCCCCAGTCCCCCCAGATCAGCTTGCTGTATTCCCGGTTTGCCGCCGAAATTCGGCGGCAATGCATTTCAATGGGATTTTTACCTTTTACTTTCCTTTTTGCAGACCCCTAGGAGGGGGAAAGAGGGAGAGGCTCCAAACTTGGGGGGTGGTTACTGGAACCTCTCCCCAACATGCCCACCAGGTTTCAAGAAGATTGGACCAGGGGGTCCTCCCCCCCAGCCCCCCGCAAAGTTTCAAGAGGTTTTTTGCCATTGACTTCAATGGCCCCATTGGTTATAATGGACCCGAATTTTTTCGGGATTTTTTTTTCGGGATTCGGAAAAACGCATAGGAAGCCATTTCGGGATTGCAAAAGCCGAAAAAAGCCGAAAAACGTTATTTTCGGCTTTTTTTTCGGTTCGGGATCCCGAAATGCACATCCCTAGTTCAGACTAGCAGTGTTCCCTCTAAGCTGAGTTAGTGTGAGCTAGCTCACGGTATGTTAGCCTCCAGCTCACACGTTTTATGTCTTCGCTCAGGAAGGATGGCCCCAGAGCCAACTAAGCTATGCAGCAGCCAAATGGCTCGCTCACAACTTCAATGCCAGTGGCTCACAAAGTAGAATTTTTGCTCGCAGGACTCCGCGGCTTAGAGGGAGCACTGGTTCAGAGGGTAGCCATGTTGGAATGCAGAATAACAGCTCGATTCAAGCCCACTAACACCTTAGAGACCAAAAAGAAGATGTTGGGGGTTATAAATTTTTGAGAGTCTCCGCTCACTTATACCCTCAAAGTCTTGTTGGTCTCCAAAGTGCTGCTGGACTTGACTCTAACTAGTCCCAGTAAAAACTATGAATCCTGCTTAAGGAGCTGCGAAGTGTCTCAGTGGACGACGTGACTTCACCGTGGCTTGCTCTGAGAGAGAACAGGCGCAGGAGATGCTTCTTCTGGGTTGGGTTCTCTGTACTGATAAAACCATTTCTGTCATCACCTAAATCACTTATGTCCCAGGACCTACGAGCATGCTGTGTTAGCCGCAGGAACAGATTTCCGCTCTGATAAACTCTGGGAGATGTATGTCAACTGGGAAAACGAGGAAGGTAACCTGAAGGCTGTCACAGCCGTCTTTGAACGCATTCTGGGGATTCCCACTCAGCTTTACAGCCATCATTTCCAAAGGTAAGAGGACCGAGACTACCATTATTCGACCGATTTTTGCTGTTGTGTTTCAGTTTTCTGGTGAAGACTCTGGCCGGGTGGTCCTTTCTTTTCTTTCTTTCTTTCCTTTAAAAAAAAAAAAAAAAACACATTCCATGTAGTTACACTAAATGCAACTCCTGATGAGGGTGGTTGTCCTCCTCAGAAAGACCTGAGAAATCACTGCGCCCAGACGTCCAGTGGCTTTGAAAACAGCACTCAGTTGTGTTCAGTGATTCATTAATAAAATAGGGTGACGAGCCCTTGCCAGTGACAGGCATCGTATGCTGTTAACTGCATTTCCAGTCTGGATGAATAGATGAGTTTGGCATTAGAATGGAAAGGGGCTCTACCCCAAATCCTGTGCCTCGAGCATCCTGAAAACTTCCCTTTGCCCTTTTTAGGACTCCTCCAAGGGACCTGATCCTACAGCTTCCCTTGGGCGGCTTATTTTGTTATAAAGACCACTCTTGCATTTATTTATTTGGCCTTTGCTCATTTATGGCCTCGCTGAGGTGGTTGTCACCCGTCTGTCATCTGTCTACTGACCAACAAGAAGAGAAGAGAAGAGAAGAGCTTGGATTTATATACCCCGCCCTTCACTGCCCAAAGGAGTCTCAGAGCGGCTTACAAGCTCCTTTCCCTTCCCCACAACAGACACCCTGGGAGGTAGGTGGGGCTGAGAGAGCTCTGACGGAAACGGCTCTTTTTCAAGGACAGCTCTTCCCAGAACTGCAGCTTGCCCAAGGTCATCCAGCAGCTGCAAGTGGAGGAGTGGGGAATCAAACCCGGTTCTTCCAGATTAGAGTCCGCGCACTTAACCACTACACCAAACTGGCCGTTAACTCATTGTGCCATTGGGTCAGAACTTTATCACCAACTGATGCTGTTCCAAACAGTACCCATTGTTTTAATTGTTATAATGTTTTATCGTGTTTTAATGTTTTAAACTGAGATGGTATTTATTCTAACGAGGATGCTACCTGCCCTGAGCACACCCGCGGAATGGGTGGGATATGAATGCGAATAATAAATAAATGCAATGAATATTTCTGTAGTAAAGGTATCATTTTTGCTGGGTAAGAACAGTAAAGTTATGATTTTTGCCAGGTCTGTGCTTATTTTCTTAAAAAACAACCACCACCACCTTGTACAGACCTGGCCAATAGCACAATCGGTGGTGTTCGCATGAGAAGTTTCCTTTGTTTTATAACACCGGTGCAACCTTGGAGTAAGCGTTTAAACTCAGGTGTTCTTAGGGCATGTGCAGAGAGCTCTCAAGGGATGACAGAAGGCTGTTGTGTTAGGACACAGGTCGTTGATCCTCGATGCTTTAAATGCTTTAAACCCCAGGTTTAAATCTAGTGAAATCTGTTTGATTTCTCTACTGTGTAGAGTGGGGCTGCCTTCAAGGCAGACGTTGGGTGTGGGACCCCATCCAAACTAAGCCTTGAAAATGGAACCGGCAAGTAGGTCTTCAGGGTCTTCTACTCCAGGCCAAAAAGACTATCACTGTCCCTTTTTGCCGTTGCCTAGTGGCCTTTTCTTTTACAAAAGTAAAGGTGAGAAGGGCTGTTTGATTCCTGTAAGAATCACGAGAATCCACATAAAATGAGTGAGAGAAATGACCGGAAAGCCAAGCCAATCGTTTCCCATTTGAAAAGGGGATACCGTGTCGATAATATGCTGTTGAGTTGGATTGTGTGCTTGCTTCAGTGGAACATAATGCTGATCCTAAAATAGCAGCTCCTTCCTACCCAAGCTCGTCAAGCATGCGTTCTGTTCGCTGAACCGAATTCAGACTGGTACAGATGGCGTCTCGTGGATTCCTTAAGCGATTCCTGGCTAGTGTGGCGTGTTTGTCATGATCTGTCCTAGCAAGCCGGTACTGACTAGCGTGGCTGCCTCCTCTCGCCCCTCCCCTTGCTCCATTGCAGGTTCAAAGAGCATGTCCAGAATAACCTGCCCCGGGACATTTTGACCACTGAGCAGTTTGTTCAGCTGCGTCGGGAACTGGCCTCTTCTGCCAACAGCCACAGCGGGGAGGATCCGCCCCCTGGAGATGACCTCCCTTCTGGGACAGAAGATATAACAGACCCTGCTAAGGTACTCTTGAGCGCCTGCCCTGTCTGGGTTTCAGAAAAGGACGCAGATGTCGTTGATTGAGCCAGTTGCAGAGTGCTTTTTCATACAATCATAGAGTTGGGACCTCCAGGGTCATCTAGTCCAACCCCCTGCACAAGGCAGGAAATTCACAAATACCACCCCCCCTCCACTCCCATAATGACTGCTGTTCCACGCCCAGAAGATGACAAAAAACCTCCAGGATCTCCGGCCAAACTTTCCTGGAGAAAAATGGCTTCCTGCCCCCAAAGTGGCGATCAGCATTTCCCTGGGCGTGTCAGAAAGGGCCACCAGACCTAAGCACTGAGGCTGCAAGCCTTCCAGCCCTCCCTTCTCGTGATCTGCCCAAGTTCACAGGATCCGCATTGCTGTCAGACGGCCATCTGGCCTCTGCTTGAAAACCTTCCAAGAAGGTGAGCCCTCCGCCTCCCGAGGAAGCCTTTTCCACTGAGGAACCGCTCTTAACTGTCAGGAAGTTCTTCCTCATGTTTAGCCAAAAGCTTTTCTGATTTAATTTCAACCCATTGGTTCTGGTCTGACCTTCTGGGGCAACAGAAAGCAACTCCGCCCCATCCTCCACACGACAGTCCTTCAAGTACTTGAAGACGGTGATCCTATCACCTCTCAGTTGTGTTTTGAGAATATATTCAGGAGACTGGTGTTATCTAGAAACATAGGCGTGTCTGCACTGGCTCCCCTATTTGAGTGTTTGCCAAACACTCTTGCTCTCTGACAGTAAAGCTGCTCGTTGGTGTGTCCCTCAGTGACACCGTCTCTGGATGGGATGACCGCAATCCAGGGTAGAAATTTACTGGGGGTTTGGATCAGGGCCAAAGGATGCTATAGAATCAGATGTGCCTCTGATCTTTGGGCGATCTCTTGATAAAATGTGGAAATTTAGGTCCAGAGTGTTTAGGGGGCAACAGATGTGTGGGAGGGTCAGGGAGCCATGGGGAGAGACAGGCCTACGTTAAGCGAAGTGACACCACTGCCTGTCGAAGACCACATTTGCGGACTAGCAGTCTGGACCTTGTCTTGTCTAGTTGATGTGAAGGCCTGGGGGAAATCGAGAGGGGGAAAACACGGGGGTTTTCTGAGGACCTTTTTTTCAGTTTTTCCTTCAGGAAATTTGGGGGAGCACTGGAAAAACAGCCTATGAAATATTTTCTCTTTTAGAAATGTAAAATGAGTAGAACAAACCTTGTCTAAAAGCACTTAGTTCCTTCTAGTGTGAAAACTGGGAAATGTTGGGGAGCACTGAAATACGTAGCTAATATATCTATCCTTTTGGGAATAGTGAAATGAATGACAGGCTTTTATTCAAAATGTGCAATATGAATTTTTTAATATGACCGTCTGCAGCATTGGAAAGCGACAAGTGGGGGGCTTGCCATTCTCTCAGAGAAATCCCCCCCCTGCCGAGTTCAGTGTGGCTTGAGGCCTCCCACCCCACCCCCTGAGGCTGGTGGCAGTGGTGCCTGGGGACTGCCCTGAACTCAGAGTAATGCTCCCTCTCAGCTGTGGAGTCCTGTGAGCAAATGTTCTACTTTTGTGAGCTGCTGGCATTAAAGTTGTGAGCGAGCGATTCGGCTGCTGCATAAATTAGTTTGCTCTGGAGCCCTCCTTCCTGAGCTGAGACAGAAATGTGTGAGCTGGAGGAGGCTAAAAAACTGTGAACTAGCTCACACTAACTCAGTTTACAGGGAACACTGGCTCCTGGCAACTGCTGCGGCCACAGAATCACAGTCCGTGTGCTGTCTGCACATGCTCAGACAATGCTTTTTTAAAATCGGGATGAATTAAAGTTTTCAGATTTTTCTGCAAACCTACAGGCGTCCCCCAAGTTTTCAGGAAAGTCTGCTTTAGTGTTGGCTTGGCACTAACCCACAGGTTTAGGTATCTGCAGCTTGGGGCCACACGTTGCTATTGGATATATAGATGGCTCAAGTGGTTAAGACGCTGAACTGCAGGCTGTGGAAGGTCGGTAGTTCGGCAGTTCGAGACCCGAGTGTGCCGCATGACAGAGTGAGCGCCCATCTGTAGTTCCAGCTCCTGCCAACCTAGCAGTTCGAAAGCAAGAAATTACAAGTAGATAAATAGGTACCGCTGCGGTGGGAAGGGAACAGCGTTCCGTGCGCCTTGGTGTTTAGTCATGCCGGCCACGTGACCACGGAAACATCTTCGGACAGCGCTGGCTCTTCGGCTTTGAAACGGAGATGAGCACCGCAACCCTAGAGTCGGATTCAACTGGCTTTCGAGCAAGGGAACCTTTACCTTTACCTATGTATACAGTAGACGTGTAGAACATTTTCAAGACTCCTTTTTTCTTGACATGTAAATAATTTGGGCAACAACTGATGAACTTTCATGATAATACACACTATTAAACACTTCAGTGTCTTCAGCGTTGTGAAGTTCAGCTTGATATCCAGATATGCTGGTTGTGCTGCACATTGTGACCTTGGGAGAGTGTTTCTATCTGAACAAGACACTGTTTTGTTTATTACAGACTTTGTTTTCTGTCTTGGAGTCTTTATTTCTTCCTACCTGTCAAACGGCCAAAAATTAAGACGCGTGTGCTGAGGTCGCAGAGGGTACAGCAGCTGGTGACTCTCCCTCAAGCGGTGGGCACGCCTGCAGCTTTTCCTTTAGAAGCCAAAGACATGAATACTCTTAAATCCCCCAAATAAGCCAAAAAGTATCATTCTACATGCCCATTACGGTATAAATTATGTGTTATGCAAAATTGGTAAAATGAATTTTCAGTTTCATAGGGAAATAAGTGTTGTGCTTATTTCAGTGCCCCCCCCCCCATTTTTTTCTTAATGATGTCTTAAGAATTTTCCATCTTTGGGCCCATCCGACCGACAGCAGTTCTCCAAGGTTCTCCGCTGGAGGTGACAGGCCAGCGGCTCCCGGCAGGGTGCTCGCCAGCGCCAGGTGTGGTGCAGTCAGAGTTGTTTTCCATTTGGATTTTGTTGACGGTTCTCCCCTTTGTGTTCCGGCAGTTAATCACTGAAATAGAAAACATGCGCCACAGAATCATTGAGATCCACCAGGAAATGTTCAATCACAATGAGCACGAAGTGAGCAAGCGGTGGACCTTCGAAGAAGGAGTGAGTATCCTTAAATCTTCCTTTTCGAAGGCAGCGGTGTGGGGGGGGCGCGTCTGGCTTTTATTGGCTTGAACTTCTTGTGTCGGAGGAGGGTGGCCGTGTTGGCTGAGGGGAGCCAGTTGGGCAGGACCCGGTGCTTCTTGCTAGATTCCGCCGTTGCCGTGTCGAAGGGGCACAGCTGAAGGCGCCACAGATCCGGGCCCTAGACGATTGCCTGATATTGCGGACTTGGGGCTAGTGTACCTCTGGCATTTGTGGCAGTGTGCTGATTGCTTAGGCCTGGTGATCTGACATGTGCATAAAATGAGCATCTGTTCCATACAGTTGGGTGTGTGTGTGTGTGTGTGTGTGTGTGTGTGTGTGTGTGTTTCCAGAGATCTTTGGCTGGAGTTTCTGTTCAGAGCCTGGAGTTTCTGTTCAGAGGTGGCCGTGTTGGTCTGCAACAGAACGGTGAAATTCCATTCCAGTCGCAACTTAGAGGCCAGGATTTTCAGGATATGAACTTTTGAGTGTCTGCCAAAGGGAGCTTCAGCCCTGAAACCCTTGTTGGTCTCTTAAGGTACCCCTGGATTTGAGAGCAGATGGCTGTTCTGTGACCCTTCCTTCCCCAGGAGCTCTCAGAATGCAATCCCCAACACAGTAAGCCCCATTGAACTTCCTTAAGTAGGGTTTGGAGTAGACCTGCTTAGGGTTGCTGTCTCCGTCTGCCCGTACTGGATAGTTGACCGACTGAATCGATTTGCTGGTTGAAGCTTGTGCCTGTGGTGTTTGTGACTCCGGTTTATGTGTTTGTGACTCTGGTTTATCCATGCCAGTCAGAGTGGGAGGAACCTTGGCATTCAGTGGGAGGAACCTTGGCACTGTCTTTCTGCCAAAGGCTAAGCTCTCAGAGTGGCATGCAGAGGGATGAAAAAACGATCTCTTGCTGTGGACTGAGCTGTAGACAGAGGCCAGCTGCTCGGCGGGGATTCAGGTGCTTGTAGGGCAGGATGCTTTTGCACGGCTCCATCAGCTCACGTGGGGATCGCATGTGTTAAAAGCCTCTCCGCATCATCCCTGCTAGCATGCCACATAGACGGAAGGGTTTTAATTTAGGGCTGGTGTCAGTCAGGCACAAGGACGTCTGCACATCCGAGAAATCTGAGTGGTACCTTTGTCCAGAGGCCTGGGATGCAGTTGTGCTGCCTTGGTGGCAGATGCCACCTCTGAGCTGTCTCCCTCATGGTTGGCAGAGGGGCTTTTCCAAGGCTGCTGCCTCCCCATGTCTCCCTGTTTTCAGAATTTCATACCAGTTTGCTCTCTAGCCCTCAGGGCTGTGTGTTACGTGTGAGAAGTGTGTCATGGTAGATTTAATTTAGCACTCTGAACTGCATTCGAAATCACAAAGCTGCAAGTGGAATGATGGATTTAAGTCAAGGCCCACCTAGGTTTTTGTTTGCAGGATTAGAAGGATGGGGTGGGGGTCCTT